GGGGGGGGGGGGGGGGGGGGGGGGGGGGGGGGGGGGGGGGGGGGGGGGGGGGGGGGGAGAGGCAGAGACAGATAGGGACTGAGTCAAAGAGGCAGATAATAACAGAGTCAGATAGGCAGGCAAGTAGGACTGGTAAAGACAAGAGATAATCAGTGGGTGGTGATTCTTTTTCGCTTGACGTTTTTGCCTCGGCCGACTCCGCGGTGTCTGGGTTGCGCGTTTCCTGCACCTGTGCTTTTAATGTCTGAACCTAACGTGCCGATGGATTGTCGGTGATCCGCTGTGAGTGAATGAGGACGACCGCTTTGCCTATGTAGCCGACGTATCTCAACGTGGGGCTTAGCAACAAGCTCCACAGCAAGGATTGCAAAATCGCCAGCAAACGGGCAACCTGTCTTCCTCGGCGTCCTCGCCCAGTGTCTACCACCACGTCCCTCTCAACTAATCATCCTCTCTCTCTCTCTCTGTCGCTCTCTGTCGCTCTCGCTCTCTCTCCCTCCCTCCCTCTCTCTCTCCCTCCCTCCCTCTCTTCTCTCTCTCTCTCTCTCTCTCTCTCTCTCTCTCTCTCTCTCTCTCTCTCTCTCTCTCGCTCTCTCGCTCTCTCGCTCTCTCCCTGTCTCTCGCTCCTTCTCTTGGCGGTAATTTCTGCGTGTGTTACCCTCCCTCTTTTTTCGCCGGTTCAAACGTTGCGCTCCAAATTACACCCACACCCTGTTCAAAATGGGAGGCAGGTCCGGCCGACTCCTAGCGGGGGGAGAGCCCGACTTCCACTCTGTGGCGGTGAACATCATTAACGACTACCAGCGCGGGAAGCTGCCGTACTTCGTGGCGCCGCCGCTGGCCGAGGGCGAGACGCCCAAGAGCGTGGCGGCGGAACCGACGGTAAAGGCCAGCTTCGACGTCGACGCCATGGCGGCAACCAAGGCCATCGCCGCCGCCGCCGCGCTAGAAGACGAAGAGAAGGAGGAGGAGGGTGGCAAGGGCAAGGGCAAGGCCGGCGACAGCGGCGGCAAGAAGAAGAAGAACGGCAAGAAGATGAGCAGGAAGGAGGAGGAAGCGGAGGAGGACCTCGCCGCCGTGGAGGCCGAGGAAGCGGCGAGACTCGCGAGGTTTGAAGCAGAGGACGACGACGATGACGACGACGACTCGGAGGCGGGGGCTACGGAGAAGTCGACGCCTGCTTCGGCAGGGGGGGGTGCCGCCGCCGTAGCGAGCAGCAAGAAACGGAAAGCGCCATTGCCGGTTGGCGAAGCTGTAGACGAGGGGGTCGCGCGGAAAAGAGCGGCGAGGGGGGCACGGGGCAATGCCGAGGAGAAGGAGGAGCCCTCAGGGGGTAAGGGGGTCGGGGCAAAGAAGGCGTCCAAGAGAAGGGCGGCGGACATGGACGAGGAGGAAGAGGGTGGCGGGAAGCGGGGGGCTGGCAAGAAGAAGGGCCGCGGCGCAAGTGAGGCGGTAGTGGCACGCGAGGAGGAGGAGGAAGAGGAGGAGGATGTTGCAGAGGACGATGATGGTGCGATGCCCTCCATTGGCGAAGGGCTCGCGTGGGATGACCTGTCGTAAAAAATAAGTTGGTTTTTATCCTTTGGAATTGTCGGTGCCGTCGTGTGTGTGCTGGTTTTCAATGTTTGTTTTGTTTACGGGAGGGATCGCGACAGACCAACGTGGCCAACGTTAGCATTGAAGTGGCGATGTTCGGGCCGGGTGTATGAAAGTATTGGCATCCCCGCGGAGCCTCCTGGGGAAGTAAAAACGACCGCAAAGTCTTATACGTGTTCGGGCGGCTTGGGGTGTGCCATCGTACCCCGTGATTCACGAGTTCAGCGCTGGACTCTCCTGTGTTCCCTGGCAATTTATACTTGGTCGCAGAGATCGTATTGTGTTTAGCGTCGTCGGAATCTGATCGTATCAGGTACACCGGGCACTCCCCGACAGGGTGGCTACGTGTATTGGTTTGTGTCGGCCAAGGGTATGTGAAGCCTATTAATAGGAGGGTGTTCTAGAAGGTAGACGGAGCTGGGTCAGTCCTCGGTGCTGAACGTCTTCTTTCCTTCTTCTTGAGCGGCCAACGGTGGCGCGGCCTTTCTGTGCTCATTGTAACCATGCTCTGAACTGGGTGTCTTGTTTTTTTTCTCGTCTTTCAAAGACTGCAATACAATCGCCAAATTATCCTGGACCTATCATCCCCGGATGGATAAACAAACAAGTGTCGCAAAAGACTGGCGATCCAATCTGTGGTCGTACTTGACCCCGACCATATTTTCATGTAACTCATACAACGTGTTCAATCGCTTCTAATACAGAGGGGGCTCGCTCTGATGGAATAAATCGAGCCAAGACTGTTTCGGTGCATGAGAATTCCGAGCGGAGCTCGACAGAAAGACGGCTGGCCTACTGTAAAAATTCGAAACTATCCGCCCCGTCCGCCTCCTGCCATGCCCTACCACGGCCTTGTGTAGCACGGCTTGGCAGGGGCAAGAAAAAAAAAATCCTAATGAAGTTCTTGTATCATCAGCTTCAACTTGGGAAACAAAAGGCAAGACTTTTCCGTCCGTCAAAGGTGTGCGGAAGGACGATGAAGTGACTGCACCTAACACACGCGTGTCTTGTCACCAAACTCAAAAGCGTTCCTCTATCAACCATCCCACGGTACACAAGAGCACGCGCACACTTCAATCCCGAGAGCAGCCTGGCCTTCCCCATGACGCCTTCTTATGGGGTCCCAGGTCATGGCCTTTACAAGCATCACCTGTTTTTAGCCAGCCGCACTGAGACTGGCGTCTTCTCATTGGTCAGCCGGTTAGCACGGTCGATGCTATTATAATACTAGAAAAACAGCTGCATGACATACTTCAACACCGCCGTTCGTCGAGGGAAAAAACGCACAAAAACGGCGGTGGCAAAAATATACTTCTGTACAAAACTTGGAAATCGGTGCACATGCATACGTTGATGAAAACCCAATCCGTGCGTGTATGCTATTTTTCACCAAACGAATCAGGGAGGCTGAGGGCCGAATCCGCGAGAAGTGAAGTCTCTTTTCTATCGCATCGTAAGGAGGGAAGGGCCCGCAAACACACGCTGCAGTCGAGGGCAGGCGCGACGGCCTCCACCACCTCCTCCCTACAAAAAACATGAAAATCGTGCGACCGGTTCTTGGACACTTCACGGACCGGCGGCGTCTCGGAACAGCAACGCCTGTTTGGGTTAGGAAATCCCGACAAATGTCATCCCGGCTTTCAAGGGGTACGCCGGCCTGCTCCATCTATGGTACAAGAGCGTCAGTCAGCTCTGCTTCTTCATCTATCTCTGCTCCTAACCCCAAAACGTACATAAATCGAAGAACACACCAAACGGTGTCTTTGTATGGCACGTATGTTGCACACTTTTTTTTACAATAACTAGGGCCGCGTTCCCCGCTTGGGTACAACAACCGGCACATTGGACGGTGCTGGTTTCGACACCGCGCACTCTCCTTGCACGGACCGGCAAAAAAAAAAAGCCGTCGTTATCGAGAAGGAGCGGGAACCGTTGACGAAGACCGGCTCACGTGCGACAGCAGCGCGCTGCCGCTTCCTCGCCAGCTCGCCGTGTCGCTGCCGCTTCCCTGCCAGCTCGCGTCCACGTCGGCGGCGTTCCCGTGCCGCCGACCGCTCCCCCCCCCTCCCGTCATCTCTACGGCGCCCCCGCCACCGCTGCTGCCCTCGTCGCCGCTATGGTTGAGGGCCTTCTCCTCTTCCAGGTCCCACTCCACGTGTTCCACGTCCGTGGCGGCGCATGTCTAGAAGACACACAAAACGCATGTATAAATGCAGCGGTGCGGGATTACTGGAGCCCCGGAGGGAGCATAGGGAGTGGAAAAACGAAACCGCCGCAGGTGCCATAAAGGTTGTTTAAACAAGGAAAGGATGCGTGTGCCCTACTGAGACTTCCGCGGCTGCCCTCGTGCGGGAACACAGAGTACAGCTCACGGGACAGATTATGGAAATAGCGGGCTTGCGTGCTGGTTCTCGCTTCGTCGGCCAACTCAAGACTTAAGGACAACATGGATGCTAAAACCAAAACAGGCGCAACAGCAGTGTATTCCTCGCTATGCTGCAACACCCAGAAACATGCACCTTGTGGGAAAACCTGGATGGACCCATATCCTTACAGCAGCGATAGCAACGACAACAACAACGACAGCGCACCTCCGTAAACGCGGCCGAGTTGTGGAAGGTGGACAGCAGGTTCAGCTGCAGCATCTGGCACACCTCTCTTTCGGCGTCGAGGAAAATGTCGGCCCTCTCCGACTCCCTCAACGGCGAAAACTCGTGGTAGGCCATGTACTGATCTCATGTTTCAAACACGGGCATCGGGGCTGTCGTCGATCGTTTTGGATGTCGTTATCCATTGTAACATTGTTTTTCGAGATTGACGGCGCGTGTGTTTTGCTGCTGTTGTTGTCGTAGGTGTTGATGGTGTTGCTGCCGTTCGTTGTTGTTTTTGTTGGGGAGTGTTGGTGTTGTTGTGAATGTCGTCAAAGACGACCGGGTACCGCACAACGGAGACAAGGCAGCGACGGAGGAGGGTAAGGCAGGTGTAGAACAGAAAGGCAAACAACTGCATGAAAAAAACACCAACAACAGGCCCGCCCACGCCCGCCCCCCAACCCCACACCGACCTGCAGACACAGGAGTAGCTGCGACAACTCTCTGTTCGGAAATATGGGCAAGGTTGGGATACTGTCTCACGTTCGTGCCCGAACGGTCCTTACATTCTCAATCAGAAAGAGGCACTACCATACTCTAAACGCACCCGAAGGATCTGCTGCCTCTGGTCATGGCTGATGTTGATCTCCTGCTCCGAGTTGACCATCACAAACGCCTGTCAGAACAGAGGGAAGACAGCAGTTAATTAGTCGGAGTAGGACCGAGGGGAACAGCATAAGGAAGATAAGTGCCACATGCCATAGATGAAGTCGTCACCGAAACGAGGAGGTTGCAACAAAGATGCATCGCAACCCCCCCCCCGCCCCGGACCGACTTTTCAAGCTCGATTGCTCTGCAGCGGGCCGAAAAAGAAGACCGCGATGGGACCATTTCTTTCGCCGAAGAGCTTTTTCTCGATTAAATCCTTCCGGCACCCTCGCTCTGTCATTCTGACAATCCTCTTCGTCGTGCCAAGTAACCGAGCTTCGAAAAAAACGGTCGTGGGGGATGGTACCTTCCGCAACCTACCTACGTTCCCCAGGGGAGGTGGGGGTATCGTACGACCCTACAGGTGTACCTAAACACCTCGTCCCGCAACGCCGCCCCCTTGACAGAGACCATCGTGCAGCAACACAAGGGCAGCGACGAACGCGTCGTGTCTCCGTCTCACACGCCTACAAGTACCTTGCACAGGTCCATGAACAGCAGGTGCTGGAGGCCGGGGCCCGAGCTCCTGACCGTGAATGCGCGGTACTCGGCGATGGACACGAGAAAGTTGTACGACTCCGCGCAGAGGAAACGGTTCGCCAGGGCGCCGAACGCCGCCGCCATGTTGGCGTTGCGCATGATGCTCGGGATATCGGAGTAGTGCTGCCTCCACCTGGAGGAGGCAATACGTTGTTTTGTGTGGGGGTAGATGGGGCCATGACACACACAAACAGAGAGAGAGAGAGAGAGAGAGAGAGAGAGAGAGAGAGAGAGAGAGAGAGNGAGAGAGAATGGGGGAAAAGACAAACCGTCATAAACGAGGCATGGGGGGCATGCGTGCGTGGTGTAGCCGTCGAAAATACGCACGGCCAGAACCAAGAGGTAGATAGACCTCTCATTGCCCAGCATGGCGCCGTCGATGATTCAAAGAAATACGCACGCACGCACGCACGCACTCACGCACGCATGCACACACAGACGCACCTCTTCACATCGCTTCTCGTCGTTGTCCCTCTGTGAGGCTCCGCGACCACGCTTGCGGCGCTGCCCGTGCCGTGCGAAGAGGGTCCCCAGGTGGAAGTCTCCCCCTCCTCGTCGCCGCCCCCGTACAAGAAGAACGCCGAGCGGTAGTCCCACCCCATCATGTCGAAGGCGTCTTCCAGGCCGCCGACGCTCGCCCACATGGTGTTGACCATCGCGAGCACGACCATAGCGGAGATCAGCAGCTGCAGGGACGTCGGCACTTCCTCATCGCTGGTTGGTCGAAGGCGGGGGGGGGGNGGCGGGAAAGATCGTGTGCAGCAGGACGCCATTCTCCGAAGTCTCCGTGGCCAAATAAGCCGTAAGCGTTTTGCTGCAGCCCTGCGGTTCTTTTCTGGCTCTTCCTTTTTCTGTTGCGTGTTTCTCGACACCTGTGCATTCTTCTTGCATTTGTTCCCTGTGGCAAACATCACGAGCCGAGTGCAAAACGCCATCCATATCCACAACCGAAACAATTATCTTGGTTGTCAACGGATGCGAATGGCTGCTACGGCCCTCGCCTCTCAGCTCATGACTACCCGTAAATTTTCCGTACCCCCCCTCCCCCCATGTGCCCGTC